GGCCGCCCCCAAGCGCAAGGTTCCGGAGAAGTCGAAGGCCGAGAAGAAGCCGCCGGCCAAGGCTGCGAGAACGTCATCGAGGTTGACTCCAGGGAAGAAGGCCCCCGCGGCTGCGCCGGCGAAGAAAGCTCCTGCTGCTAAGAAAACTGCGGCGGCCGTGAAGAAGTCTCCTGCCAAGGCCAAGAACGTGAAGGCGAAGACGGCGAAATCCCCGGCGAAGAAGGCTTCGGCGAGGAAGGGGAGGAAGTAGGGATCATAGGGGTACTTTCGGGAAAGCGAATGTTTGTTTGTAGGGACAGTATTGTAAATTCACCATGGATTATCTTTGGATGGGGATATGCTATTAGGGACCTAGCTGCTATTTTCTGCCTGAGGGCATGATAGAACGAACAACTGCATTCTTTTTTTTCCTTTTTTTTTTTTTTTTTTTTTTTTTTTTTTTTTCCTTCTTCTGTTTTTAGGGATTTGAATCAATGCATGATTTTGTGTAAGTTCAAACCAACTCCAGAAAGAAATTAATGGGTTTTTCTTCAAGTGTTCCAAACTTTTCCTTTTTTGCAAATTTTGCCTTATATTTTGTGAATTCCCATTTTTGTGCCGATTAGGGTTTATGTATAAATTGCAGGATGCTTCTTGTTGACATTAATGACACGAGTTTGTCGTGCGAGTGAAGTTTGGTATGGACGGTGAAAGACTGTGCGAGTACAACAGGATTCGTATTGGGCAGCTAATGGGTAAAATCTTTGATCTTTGCTGCTTTTTTTATCTTTAGCTGCTCTGCAGTTTAATTGTTATGTATGAATGTATGTTGTAATGGATTTGTGCTCTAATAAGTTTCTGAATCCGAAATCGAATCTTTACTTTAGATTTCTCATTCTGGTCTGATCTCGGAACTTATGAAAAATGTGTCGTTTATCCGTTAAGAGGCACGTTTGACATGCTCCTTTCATCCATAAAAGCTTGGATTACTCTTAATGATAGTGTGGTGCATGAGTCTACATTAGATTTATCAATCCAACTTGTACGACATTATTGATCTCGGTAAATAAGAATAACATGTCGTTAATCATTAGAGGTACGATCGACACGCGCCCTTCATCCATTTACAAACCTTAACTCTAGTGTGTCCATATATCGACAAACTTTAACTCTAGTGTTGCTAGTTATAAGCTATAGAATCCTGATTATTCTTAATGCTAGTTAATAGAACACTGCAGGCATGGAGTTTACCTATTATCTTTTCTCTTAGACCCTTCTTTTGCTAATGATCTTCGAGTCATTTCGTGTACCTTTGACTCTGAGTGAGATGACTTGGCTTGTAGTGTAGTTTGGCTAATGTCAGGTTTGCCTTTGAGCCAACCAAATCAAGCTGTACGTCTCGTACGTCAAAAGTTTTCTTAAAGCCTTCACACGATCACAAAATCCCATTTCGTGTACCTATGACTCTGAGTGAGATGACTTGGCTTGTAGTGTAGTTTGGCTAATGTCAGGTTTGCCTTTGAGCCTACCAAATCAAGCTGTACGTCTCGTACGTCAAAAGTTTTCTTAAAGCCTTCACACGATCACAATATCCCACCTAATACCATCGTCCAAAAAGTCGTATTCAACAAAACTACACAAAACTAAACAGTCAAGTTAGCGTATCAACAAATTAGAGATTCCAACAAATAAGAACTCATAGCAATATATTTCTCGTTTAATAGGTTTTAAAACTATACTAAAGCTGTCCCACAAACAAACTCAAGCTTCAAGGTTAGATCTCCCGGGCAACAGCCACATCTCTTTCCTTGCCTCCTCGACAGTAGTTATGAACTTATGAGAATGCACTCTTTTTTTCTCCGCAGCCAACAAGTGTAGCTGAGCATGGAAACTAGAAATGTTGATCCGATCATTCACAAAGCGATCCAACTCGTTGTCATAGCTAAAATATCTATCTTGGTGGCCACGTCCCACTTCATCTTCATAATCCAACACAAACCTTGGGTAAACTGAAAAAATAAAGGGATGCCTAAGATGGCACGAGCCATCTTTTGCTTGGTACAATTTGGGTTAAGTGGATCGTAAATGGAGGTCCGAAGTGCAATTTTTTTTTTTCGAAACAATAGAAGAATACTCACATAAAACCAAACCAAAGTTCGAATACAAAACTGTTCAGGACAGAAAGTCGAAAATAAGGGAGAAGTACATGTGTAACGCTGCCAAATAAAATGCTTAACCTTACCTTTAACTTTCAATCTCCATAATCTGTTTCTCCTGTACTTGTTGGCAGCCTCACTCCCTTGAGCCCTATCAATTTTGAGTATTTTCTGTTCAATGAGATAGGAGTATGTGTTAGCCACAGAAAAATACTTATATTTTTATTTATTTATTTTTTTTTTTGTCAAGAGACCACACCCGTTTCTCAGGAGCATTTGTGTTAAGAGAAGTGATCTTCGTAATAGCTGCAACCTCCTCCTCATGGAAACTCTGATGTAATTTCTCTCATCCCAAAACCTGCCATCATTAGTTAACAAGTCTTTGACCCCAAATCAAACCACTGTCAGTAATAACCGATGTTCGCATTCTGCCTTCATATGTTATCCCGGGATCTCTTAAACGCCGCAAAGTAGAGATCAAATTTACGAAACCTTATCGGACAAACACATGTTGAGTAGTTACATTACCTTGCATTTAGCTGGTGTTAATGATGATATAAGGAAGCTGAAGACGAACAAAATTGAACTTCGGTCCTCCATAGACAATTTACAGAACCCAAATTGTACCGAGCATAGTTACATTGCCTTGTGTAATTTAGCTGGTGTTAATGATGATATAAGGAAGCTGAAGAAAAACAAAATTGAGCTTCGGCCTTCCATATACAATTTACTGAACCAAAATTTTACCGAGTAAAAAAGGCCTCGTGCCATCCTACGAGAGAGATATTGCTATGAGTTGTTATTTGTTGATATCTATAAGTTGTTGATGTTGGGTGCTACTAACGTGACTAATTACTCTGTGTACTTTTGTTGAATATGATACTTCTGGATGATGGTATTAAATTTGTCGTTGTGATACGAAAAAGTTTGTGTGAAGGCTTTAACAAAACTTTTGATCTACATACACGTACACGAGAGGCACGTAACGATGCACATCTTGATCCTAGTAAACGATGTTTTCATTAGTTAGTTTTGATGTAATTGTGGAAGGGGAAAGGAAACCTTTGTTGCTGAGTGGTTGTACCAATGGAAACTCTTAAACATACAGAAATCGTATTTGACCACCATTAAATTGTTTACTCTGCCGAAAGAGAACATGTCTTGGGACCCTTGTAGTTATTGATCTCTTGTGGAGAGTTCAATGAGTGCACTCAGTAGCATCTTAATTATAGAATTTTGGTTCCAATTCTTGTAACCATTTGATTCACCTCTCACTTATGAAATCAAAACTGTGATCTGGAGAGCCCATTCATGAACAAGCGAAGGCTCAGCTTAAAACTATTTATTAGTAAATATCCATGGTGTGATTTTTTTTTATGACATTTGTGTGGAGTAAATATTTATCTATGAACTAGCAGTTAAATAGTGTCCCGGACGAATACTAAGATTAATATGCCAACAGATTTAATGGAATACCATATAAAATTTAAGTACTGGTTAGTTTAAGCAGCGGTAGTATTTACTTTAGAAATGGACTGTCGGTGAGCAAAATCGGGAAATGACTTAAGTAGAAATCATTTCAAAGGGACTTACCAAGAATACATATTTGAACTTCTGAAAAAAATTGGGTTATGCTGCACATGCCAATTGGCTTATGGATTCAGTTTACAGTGTCGTATTTTTTTCTCAGTACAGATTTCGCGCCAGAAGGCACGAAATCACAGTAAAAATTAATGCCTACACTAACGCGGTTAAATTATGAAATTACTACTGGGATCTAGCCTAGTACAAAGTTAAATCTATCAAGATTTTGAACACAATTGTCATGAGTTTATATTTGACTGATTTGCACCCAGATGAGAGGGGATTTTTTATTTTTTTTTATACCCTTTCTTCTCCCTATTCCATTCAAAGGACACAGTTCTGAAATAGTTATCTTTGATCAGGCACTGTCATTTTTAGGGAGAAATAATGTGCAAGGATCAAAATGGGAGCCTCAACTGAATAACTGCTCAATAGCTTTCATCATGCAGTTTATGTAAGTATTAAGTTTAGGCTCTATATAAAAAAGATGTTCTCAAAATTCCAACATAGAAATAACTTTGCTGTTGGTGTTGTTCACCATGAGTGTGCATTAGTTTCATTCTTATTTAGCACAAATGCATGCTTTCTTGTTATCTCTCAGGAGAGGTACAAACACAAGAACTGGGAATTGCAAAATCAAATACATAATACTAATACACAATAAACCAAAACCACCACACACATATCTTATTGGACATACAATTTAGTATCGGTTATCCTAGTTGGCCCTTGACGAGTTGTATAAGACGCGTCATGTTAATGTAAGACGAGCCTTCTTCCTCCATCGCTCGTCTCGCTTTTTTCCCGAGCTCTCGTGCTCTCTCTCTCCTCGCTCTCCCTTTCTCTCCCCCACCCATTAACTCCTCGATAGCCGCCTTAACGCATTCTGACTTCACCTGAACTCCTCCTTTGTCCTTTTCTCTCACGAACTCGACAGGCACCTCGACCCCTACCCGAACCCCCGTCCCCAACACGTTCACGATGAACTTCTCGTTGCAGAACTGGTCCGCGAAGACCGGCCACGTCATCATCGGTACCCCCGACGTCGTCCCCTCGAGCGTCGAATTCCACCCACAGTGCGTCACGAATCCCCCGACACTCGGGTGGGAGAGTATCATCACCTGCGGGGCCCACCCGTGGATCACGAGGCCTTTACCCCNCACCCTCTCCTCGAACCCCCCGAGCCACGACACGAGCTCGAGCTCCTCGTCCGAAGTGCTCCTCCTCACGACCCACACGAAAGGGCGGCTCGACGCCTCCAAGCCCAACCCGAGCTCCACGAGCTGCGCGACGGTCAGGCTCGACAGGCTCCCGAGGCAGACGTAGACAACCGAGCTAGGGTCCCTAGCGTCGAGCCACCTCAAGCACTCCCCCCCGTCGATCGAGGCCTCGTTATTCCCTCTCTGTGCCTTGTCGAGCTCGTCCTCGTTGCACAGGGAGACGGGCCCCACGCACCACACCTCCTTGCCTAGGGTTTCCGCATACCGCCTCACGTAAGCGGGTTCGAGCTCCTCGAACGTGTTCACCACGATCCCGGAGGCCTCTGAGTAGGCATCTTCGATCCTGTCGACAAGCTCGGTCCACCAACTCGGGACTCGACCCGCTGTGCCCCTTATTTGGGCCTTGGTGATCTCGACCCGGTCGGGCAGGCCAGGCAGCGCGAAGTACTCAGTGTCGGGCACGTCGATGTCCTTGAAACACTGGGAGACGGCCAACATGTGCATGCACAACAGGGTAAAACAACCGAGCACGTGAAACACAAATCGTGGTATCCCGAGTCGGGCGGCCAAGGTTGTCGACCACGGATAGAAGAGGTCGGAGACTATGCAGGTCGGTGGAGGATCTAGGGTACGGAGGGCTTGTTCGACCTGGCTTTGTAGCAAGTCGATGGCTTTGTGAAACCTGGAAGGGTCGTAAACAAGCAAAAACGACTAAATGACTTGAGAAAAACTTAAAATAAACTAAAACGATCACAAATTAATAACTCAACAACACACAAAGTTACAAATAGAAACCTGGAATGGTCGTCGGGAGAGCGGACCATGTCGAGGCTTTCGCAACCTTCCGGAAGGCCGGCTTCGACAGTCGGGAATCTGAGGTGGGAGATGCGGATGTTGGAGCCGGAGGCGATTGCCCGGTCGATTATGGGTTTGATTCTACCGAGGTTGTAAGGAGATATTAAGATCGTGACGGTTAGACCGCGTTTGGCGAGCAATCGGGCGGTATCTACCATGGGAATCATGTGGCCTTGGGCCATGAATGGGAGGAGGACAAAGTGAGCTTCTTGTTTTTTTGGTTCCATGGCGATTCGCTATTTTTTTTTTTTTTTT